TTTATGTCAAGTCTTTCGGACCTATTGTTAAAGAGACTTCAAATACAGTCAAATCTCAATTATACTGAAAATTATAAGTTTATACACTATTCATAATTCTTCATTAGGTCTGACCGACGATGTTATGTATGTTTCCATTGAATTTGTATAAATTGAATGAAAATAGCGATTAATTGAATAGTTTTGTTGTTTAAGCGATTGATTTGACATTCAATTGAAATGATTGTGAAAAATGTGAAGTTTTTATGTGTTATTTGCGGCGACAAAGCGTGCGCTAAATAACTTTATAAAAGTTTTGTTAATTAAATTTTTATATTAATTACTTTATTATGTATTTTAATATCGATTGATTTAGTTTTAGCAAACATTAAATTAAAACTGATTCTTAAGCTTAACTCATAATAAAAATGCATTCAAATCATTGATAAGAGACTGCAATAGAAAAGTATTTTCATAAATACTTTTAAATTCATGTTTAAATCAAACTTAATATAAATTATTAGAAAATAAAATTATATGATAATGAAAAATGACTATTATTATAGTTTTCGATATAAAAATGTTTATTTAGACCATTAATTTGTAATTAATATTAATAATTAACTCATTTATTAATTAATAACTCAAATCTGGCGCTCAATTCATGCAATACTTATAGTGTTATTCATTGCCATAAATAACGTGTCAAACGATCTCTCAATTATTGCATGTGTTTTGCGGCACAAAGTTTTGGCCATTCATTGCATTCAATCAATTGATCCATTGTTTCATTTCTTGGGATCAACTCTTGTTTTGTGGACACCAGTGACTGAAGAGGAAGACACGAGAGAAGTGATGGATTCGTTGCGCGTCAAAGAGTTGGACAACAAAATAACAGTCATTAAAAAAGTGATGACAGGTATGAGAAACAGGATCAATGTCTTGGAAGCGTGTCTTAAGACATCGGATGCGGTCATCACTCAACAGTCAAAAGGCAACCAAAGGCTTACAGAAGCCGTGGAGTTGAGTGTCGAACAGATCCCGTTGTTTAAGCCATTGATTGGATTCATCAAAGATCTCGAGGAATCGATTGGACGTGAAAAAGACAATTTGCAGACATTGAAGGCGTCGATCGTTGAGACAAACGACGGACACGACGTCGAGGAACTGATCCGCGATCTGAGACAATGCGCGCTCAAGAGTGAGCCCAAGAGTGAGCCCAAGAGTGAGCCGAAGAGTGAACTGATGATTGAGACAATCGATGAGTCCCTAAACGATGACCAGAGCTTTGGTGATGATTACGAGCGAACCGTTAAAAGCGAATCGACAGCCAATTGGGTGGAGACGACCGCTGCTGAGGACGCCATCAGCGATAGCCAATCGGTTGTGTCCGTCGTTGACATCGAGTCCAGCGATTCCGAGTGCGAAGTGACCGGCAATACGTCCGCTGGCGGTGGCGGCCGTCAAACACAGGGCAGCGGCCGAACTGAGCGCAAGTGTTTGGCCACAAATGAGACACCAATTGATGGCTCGATGGCGACGACCAGTGGTCACCAAATTGAGGGCCAGCGTGTGGTGTCGACAAACGGTAACCGAAACCCAATACCGATGTACGCGTGTCAGTGGTCTGACTGCACGTTTAGGGCCAGATATAGTTGTCGTGTGAAGCGTCACATAAACTATGTCCATAAGAAAGTGCGGCCATACGTGTGCCAGAGCTCCGGCTGTCAGTATAGGACTATCACGTCATCGCATCTCAAACGACACCAACGCTGTCACCAAAAGGATCCCAATTATGACTACGCGTGTGAGCGCACGGACTGCGGGTATAAGACCAACGAACGGCACGATATGACTGAACACATGAATCGGCACAACAACGTGAGGCCATTCCCGTGCGATATGTGTCCGTATAGGGCCTTCAATTCAGGGAAACTCAGTGGACACAAACGCCGGCACAAAAACAATCCCAATTACCGATACATTCCTCAACGTTCCCGTTTGGCCACAAATTAAAGTGTTGTCACAAATTGATGGCTATATTCCTCCCGAGCGACTCATAATCACTCGCCTTAATGTTTATCTCATTTTTAATGTTATATTTGCAGTCAATTTATTTTAAATACATTTTAATTTCAATTATAATTTATAAAATTAATAACTAATAATTCATAATTTTACTAATGATTTGTTTGTAAAACTTTTTTACTTTTATTATAATTAAATTAAAGTCGATTCTAAATCATAATATCTATATTTATTTCAAAGCTATCTGTATTTAAAACACGGCTCGGAATCTGAAACAGAAAATAACAAATTTTATAAATTCATTCATGTATTTAAAAATATTTGTGAAATCCATAATAAAAATGAACACCAATTTTATCTCAAATCTTTCGGACCTATTGTTAAGGAGACCTCAAATACAGTCAAACCTCAATTAACTTATACTTCAATTATATTGAAAATTATAAGTTTATATTTTTATTCTTAATTAAGTCTATTATGAAACACAGATTATTACTGTATTTGCATTGAATTTGTATAAATTGAGTGAAAATAGCGATTCATTAAATAGTTTTGTTGTTTAAGTGATTGGTTTGACATTCAATTGAAATGATTGTAAAAAATGTGAAGTTTTTGTGTTATTTGCGGCGACAAAGCGTGCGGTAAATAACTTTATAAAACTTTTATTAATTAAATATTTATATTAATTACTTTAATATGTATTTTAATATCGATTGATTGGGTTTTTAGCAAACATTAAATTAAAATTGATTCTTAAGTTTAACTCATAATAAAAATGCATTCAAATCATTGATAAGAGACTGCAATAGAAAAGTATTTTTATAAATTCTCTTAAATTCATGTTTATATCAAACTTAATATAAATTATTAAAAAATTAAATTATATGATTATAAAAAATAACTATAATTATACTTTTCGACATAAAAATGTTTATTTTCACAAATAATTTGTAATAAATATTAATAATTAACTCATTTAGTAATTAAAATCTCAAATCTAGCGCTCAATTCATGCAATACTTATTGTGTTATTTATAGCCATAAATAACGTGTCAAACAATCTCTCAATTATTGCATGTGTTTTGCGGCACAAAGTTTTGACCACTGATTGCAATCAATTGATCCATCGATTCATAGCTTGCGATCAAATCTTGTTTTATGGACACAATTGACTGAAGAGGAAGACAGCCCTTGCCATGGATTCAATGGACGCCAAGAAGTTGGACCGCAAACTGAAAGACATCAAAGTTGTGAATGAAATGAGAGATGAGATCAATGTCTTGAGAAAGTGTCTCAAGACATGTGATCTCGTTATCGACAAACAGTCAAAAGCCATCAAAACGCTGACCAAAGCCTTTGACACCAGTGTTCAGAAGATACCAGAGTTCGAGCCAATGATTGATTGCGTGAAAGACACCGAAGAATCGATACGACAATCAAAAGACAATTTGCAGACATTGAAGGCATCACTCGTTGAGACAAACCTCCAGAAAGTGGATCAACTGATCCGCGGGTGGAAACAATGCGCGCCGAAGAGTGATCAATGCGTTCAAACCGAAGAGGAATGCGAAGAGTCGGAGGATATGATTGCTAAGTCTGTGCCAATGAGTGACACAATCGGTGTCCAGAGTTTGGATGCCGAGTACGAGACGACCGTTAAGACTGTGTCTTCAGGCGATTGTTTGGACAGAGATAGCGAAGTGGTTGAGTCGGACAACTCGTGCGTATCCATCGATTCCGAGATCGAAGTGACCGCAAAGATCTTAATATCGATATCCAAGAGTAGCGGCGGAAACGGTGACGATAGCGGCCGTCAAACGCCGGGATCTGAGCGCAAAAGTTTGCCCACAAATGAGACACAGAGTGATGGCTCGATGGCGACGACGAGTGCCCAACAAATTCAGTTGCGGCGAGTGGTGTCGACCGGCGATAACCCAAACACAATACCGATGTACGCGTGTCAGTGGCCTGAGTGCTCGTTTAGGACCAGATATAGTGGTAATATTAAGCGTCACATAAACTGCGTCCACAAGAAAGTGCGGCCATACGTGTGTCAGAGCTGCGGCTATCAGTCTGGGACTGGTATTCCATTGAATCTCAAGCGACACCAACGCCGTCACCAAAAGGATCCCAATTATAGACTTCAATCGTTTCCCATTCACATCGAGTCCAGCGATCGCGAGAGCGAAGTGACCGCAAACTCGGCCGGAGTCGGCACAAGCGGTAACGATAGCCGCTGTAATACAGAGGAGGGCAGCGGCGGATCTGAGCGCAAGTGTTTGGCCACAAATGGGACACCGATTATGCAATCGTTGGCGACGACGAGTGCCAACCGAAGTGAACGTCCGCTGCATCGGCGAGAAGTGGTGTCCGTCTATCGTAAGATATTGCCAAACAAAGAGTACGCGTGTGAGCGCACGGACTGCACGTATGAGTCCAGCGATCGGCGCGATTGGACTCATCACTTGAATGGGCACAACAACGTCAGGCCATTCGCGTGTGACAGGTGTGAGTATAGGGCCAGCAGTTTAGGGCATCTCAATCGACACAAACTCTCTCACAAGAATCCTTATTTCCATCCCCACACTCGAAGACAGTCCCGTTTGGCCAGTGATTGAAGTGTTGTCACAAATTAATGGTTATATTCCTCCCGAGCGACTCATAAAATCACTTGTCTTAACGTTTATTTCATTTAGAATGTTATATTAATTTGCAGTCAATTTATTTTAAATACATTTTAATTTCAATTATAATCTATAAAATATATTACAAACGATACATACATTTTACTAATAATTTGTTTGTAAAACATTTTTACTTTTAATATAATTAAATTAAAGCCGATTCTCAATCATAATATCTATATTTATTTCAACGCAATCTGTATTTAAAACGGCTCGGAATCGGAAACACTGAAAAATAACACATTTTATAAATTCATCGATAGATTTGCATAATATCTGTGAAATTCATAATAAAAATAAACCAATTTTATGTCAAGTCTTTGACCTATTCTTAAGGAGACCTCAAATACAGTCAAATCTCAATTAACTTACACTTCAATTATACTGAAAATTATAAGTTTATATTTCAATTCTTCATTAAGCCTATTATGAAACACCGATTATAATCACAATTATTATCGCAATTATTATCACAATTATATACATAAAAGATTTGTTGATTAAATAATCTGCTTTAGTGTATACTCTGCTGGCAATAAAACATGGTTTTATCACAATTGGTTTTGGTTCTCAGAATAAAAAGTAAGTGAAACTGTACATGGTAAATATTAACTTAACAATTAATAATTTGGTCATATTTCAGACAATAGTCACAATACAGTCAAAAAACAATCCATTGGTCTGACCGACGATGTTATTTATGTTTGCATTCAATTCGTATAAATTGAGTGAAAATAGCGATTAATTCAATAGTTTTGTTGTTTAAGCGATTGGTTTGACATTCAATTGAAATGATTGTGAAAAAAGTGAAGTTTTTATGTGTTATTTGCGGCGACAAAGCGTGCGGTAAATAACTTTATAATATATTTATAAAAGTTTTATTAATTAAATATTTGTATTAATTATATTTATTTGTATTTTAATTTTGATTTATTGGGTCTAGGGCGCAATTTTGGTGCCATAACATGTGAGTCGTGCAAGGTCTTTTTTAGGAGAGCTAATCTTAAACAGAAGGTAAATTTAATTGTAATTTTCTATTACTAAATATTTAAAATAATAATTAATATGAAATTAATTAGGTTTTCAATTGTCGTTTAAATAATAAATGTGTTATTAATATGAAAACGAGAAAAGTTTGTAAAAGTTGTCGATTGAATAAATGCGTTAAGACAGGGATGAAAAATGTTTGTTTTATTGTTATTATTTTTGCTATTAATTGTATAACTTTCATATTTTCAAATTGTTTTCCATAGGAATTAATAAAAGGCAAACAACTTATACTTGAAGACAAACAGGGATTAAATAATGATAACACATGTGTTGACACAACCAATGATGGGATTATTGAAAGTACGAATTGTCTGATTGTGTGAAGTGAGTTGTGATGAACTAAACAATACTAAAATATACTGTACTTTCAGATGAAATGGTTGACAGCACTCATACCAGGGATGACAGTCTCGTGAACGAGATTACAAAACATGATAAAAAGTACATTAATGGGAGTCCAACGGCCGATAGCTGTCAACTCTGGCCATCATTTGGATCAGTGTTTTATCGGATAACAGATTATAAGAGTTTCAATGACTTAGAGTCGCGACGTTTGGCCGATTTGTTCAGCGCTTCCAACGTTTTCAATGGCATATCGTTTTGTTCATTGAATTGCATTGAAATTACAGATGTCGTTGAGCTCTATAAGGCATGGGGTGAGAAAATGGACCGGGATATGATTGATTTGGTCAAATTTACCAAGGCACTTAATGCCTTTGACAGTATTTGCCTAAACGATAAGTTAGCACTTATTAAATACGGTTGTCTTGAAGTACTTGTACTCAGATATTGTATACTTTGGGACAATGAGACTGAATATTGTACAGCAGTTATGGTTAGTGTAATTGAAAACAATTTTAAATTAAAATTATTAATTGTTTCTTGAATTGATTTTTGACATAGAATTCAAACAAATCTTTTGTATACAAAATGGATATTTTAAAGCCTGAAAAGCGAAATATATACTCCGTGTATAAGATATATTTGAGCAAAATTTTACCCGAATGGAATCGGGATTTTATCATTCTGGATTTGGTATGCAATAAACAATCATAGTAATTGATAAAGTTATAATAATTATTTTGTATGCAAATAAAACAGTTGACGGCAATAGTACTTTTCAACCCAAATCGACCAAATCTAATACACCCGGAAGTTGTAAAGTAAATAATTTTCAACATTAATTATAAGATTGATTTATGTGATTAATATTTGTAAATTGTGCATGATATATTTAGAGTGGAGCAACAAATATACATATATTTACTGCAACGGTATTTATTAATGAAGATTAAGTCCGAATGGGAATCGCGAACAAAACTTTCAAATTTGATGAACACTTTGAGTGATTTGCAAATCATTAGTGACGTTGAGGTGCAAAACGGGGGCGAACTGTACCTCCAATACTACGGACCTATTCTTAGAGAAACCCTATTTGATGTCACCTGTAGTTAGCATTTATTGAATTAAAATGTACTTAATTTGTATAATAAAATAAATATTGTTTATTTACCATTTTAATTTTTGTTATAAACTTGTATTGGTAATAATTATAAAATATTGCATAAAGGTAAATGGAGTTTAATATCGTAAATTGACATTTAAACAAAGACTGTATGGGAGGTGGGTTTCAACATTAATAGTGTTGTCTCAATATCTTATCAGTTAAGTTCTAGATAAAGCTATTTTAATAAATCACATTAACTTATATTGCAATAATTATTACTTGACAAGTTCAAGTGTACATAATATACCTTAAATTATTATAAAATTTTGTTGATTAATAAATATTATGATTATTTAGCTTCAGATTCAATGGCAGGAAACGTTGAACAATGTGTTATATGTGGCGATCAATCAGCGGGTAATTTATAGATTTGTTAATTTATTAATTGTCTATAATTTATACAATTATTTGGTTTTTAGGCCGAAATTCTGGTGTAATTACTTGTAATTCGTGTAAAGTATTCTTCAAGAGAAATGCCACACAAAATGATGTAATGGCTATGAAATGCATATTATAATGAATTTTACATATTAAATAATAATAATATTGTAATTAATTAAATAATTTTTATATTTAGTCATTAAATTGTCGTTTTGGTGGCGATTGTGTTATTGATATAAAGTTACGGAAACGGTGTACGAGTTGTCGGATTAAAAGGTGTATTGAAATGGGAATGAAAAGAGTAAATACAGGAATATTCCCTAACCATTAACATAAGTTATAATTATATAATTTATAATCTAGGTAATGGCCAAAAGTAAAGTAACCAAAAACAATGAGTGTTCAGAAAAATGGGATTTAACTAATGATACGATTATTAGCTCAATAAATGAGACATCGGATGAGATTATCAGCAATTATGGGACAAATAGTGAGAAACAAATGAATGAAATACAGATATTCACGTCAAAGGATAGTAATGGCAATAATAAGTCGCTTCAAAATAGCTGTAATATCGACGATATGTTTGTGAAGTTGTCATTCAGTCCAGTGTTCAGCCATTTAGACGATTACAAAACATTTAGTGATTTGGAAACAAACAGATTATCGGAATTGTTTATATCGTCAAAAGTATTCAATTATAAATCTAATTATAAACCGAAAAATACTTATGAATTGAAAAATTTGTCTCAAATAAACTACACCTGCAATGAACTGATGGAAAGAGATGTCGCGGATCTGATCTCTTTGACTAAGACTTTAAAATCATTCAATAATCTGTGTTTTAACGATCAGTTGGCGCTTATTAAGTACGGGTGTATTGAAATACTTATACTCCGGTATTCAATACTGTATGACATTAATACCGATCTCTGGACATGGGTTTGGGTTTGTATATCAAATGTAATGACAATTAATATTCTAATTTTATTTGTATAGAAATCAGGGACTCCCAGAGGCTATGCATTCAAATTAACCTCGATGAAACATGAAACATTGGATATATACTTATTTTACAAAGATTATTTGCCTAAAGTTAGCACAGAATTTAACCGGGATTATATTATACTTGACTTGGTATTTATTCATATTTTATTTTATTATATAATAGATTTAATTTTGTAATCGTTATTAGTTGACAGCAATAGTACTGTTTGATCCAAACCGACCCAATTTAATACATAACGATGTTGTGAAGTATGTGTTATTTATTTATAATAATAATAATTAAAAGTATTTTCTACTTAAATGATTAACTATTAATTTCAGAGCTGAACAACAATTATATATTTATTTACTCCAAAGATATTTGTATTTAAAATACGGATCAAAAGTGGAAACAGAGATAAAACTATCAAAACTTATGAATATATTAATTGATTTGCAGTTCATTTGTGATATTGAGAAGAAATATTGTTTTTCATTATATATGGATTCCTTCGGACCAATTCTTAAGGAAATCCTCTTTGATATCACCACTAATTAAACTATTAATAGTTTTATATGTTTAAAATTATTAATTAATTATAAATAACATAATTTAATTACAACAATAGAGTTACTTTGTTCAAATATAATTATACATTATATTTAATTAAGTTTATTAGACATAACTTCATTAAATGTTTTTTAATTAATCACCATTTGAAAATCATCAAGTTGCATTAATATTAATTACTGAGCATTGCCTATTCGTGTCAATTATTATAATAATTTACTAAACATATATTTATTAAAGTTATGTAAATTACATATTGAATAAAATTTTGTTACAGTATTATTGTTTGACTCAAACTAAGTGAGAATTTGTAAATTGTTTCTTAATAAATATTCTAATAAATTGTTTAGTAAATATAAAACAGATGTAGTTTATTTCACAATCAAAATTATTGAATTCTTATCTTATCATTAATTGTAATGAAAATGTACTTATATTTTGTTTATTTGGCTTTCATTTAATGTGGATTACAATACATAATAAATATTGATATTCTTACCATCCAACAATTATATATTAAATGGCAGCAAACAGTGAACAACACTGTGTTATATGTGGCGACCAATCAAAAGGTAAATACTTTTAATTATTAATTCATATTTAATATTGTAATCATTTTAGGGCGAAATTTTGGTGTTATTAGTTGCGAGTCGTGTAAAGTTTTCTTTAGGAGAAATGGCAAACAAAATACAGTAATTGTCTTAAAATATATTAATAATAATTATTATAAATTATATTATAATTTCCAAATATATATATTTATTAAATGCTATTTAGATACCTGTGTGTGGTTTTTATGGCAATTGTATAATTGATGTAAAGTCACGGAAACGATGCACGAATTGTCGGATGAAAAAGTGTATACAATTGGGAATGAAACGAGTAATTAAAACATTTTTATAATTAGTAATTAACTAATATTTTTTGTAAATTTTTAGCAATTAATAAAAGGCAATGAAAGCCCCGAGAATTGTAATTCAACTAACGATACAACTATTAGCTCAACAAATGATACTTTCAATGATATTATTGGGAGGAATGAAAAAAGTAGTCGGAAAGAGATGAACGAAATTCAGTTATTTATGTCTACGAATAACAATGATTTTAATGACACAATTAATAATAATAACGATATATTTGTAAACTTGTCATTTAGTCCAGTGTTTAGCCATTTAGGAAGTTATAAACCATTTAGTGATTTGGAAACAAACAGATTTAATGAATTATTTTTATCATCAAAAGTATTCAGTTATAAATGTAATTATAATACGGATAATGTTCGTGAATTGACAACACTGTTTGAAATTGCATACACTGTCAATAAGTTGATGGATAGGGATGTCGAGGATCTCATCTCTTTGACTAAAAGCCTAAATTCATTTAATAATCTGTGTTTTAACGATCAGTTGGCACTCATTAAGTACGGCTGCTTTGAAATACTTATGCTTCGGTATTCAATACTATATGATATTAAGACCGATTACTGGACGTGGGTTTGGGTTTGTATACCAAATGAAGTGCTAATATATTTAAAATTAATTTTTAATATTAATTGTAATCAGAAATCATTCCCTCAAAGCGCGGGTTTATTTAAATTGACTGCAATTAAAGAGGAGAAGCGTAGTTTATATTGGTTTTACAAAGATTATTTACATAAATTACACACTGAATGTAACCGGGATGCTATTATTGTGGACTTGGTAATGATATAGATTGATCGAGTTTATAATTATCATAAATTTTAGTTATAATTTTACATTTAATTATTAGTTGACAGCGATATTACTGTTTGACCCTAGTCGACCAAATCTAATACACAGGAATGTTGTGAAGTAAATATGAATATATATTTTTATAAATATTTTTAATTCATTATTAAAACTAATATTTTTTAGAGCCGAACAGGAATTATATGTTTATTTACTTCAAAGATATCTACATTTAAAATATGGTTCAAAAGTGGAAACTCAAACAAAATCATCACAACTAATGAATATAATAATGGATTTACAGATTATATGTAATATTGAGAAGAAAAATGGTTATGAATTTTATTTGGATTCCTTCGGACCAATACTTAAAGAGATTCTCTTTGATATCATCACTAATTAAATCCAGTCTTAGTGTTGGTATAAAATAGTATAAAAATTAATATTTGTGCGGATTATAACAATTAATCTGCATTAATTACCACTTCAACTTTCATTCTATGTAAACTGTATAAATTGAGTGCACCCAGGTCCAAAGTTTGCCGGCTCAATTATTCCACAAACAATTATTTAGTACTATTTTATTTTTTATAAGATTAAATTAATGCTGTTTATTTTATCATGTAATTAATATATAATAAAATTTCATAAGTTATAGTGCATTTATTAATTTATAATGATGAATTGATAAACAATTTGGAAATATTTAGTATAATGTCATTTGTTATTAATTTTAAACGTTTACAAACGCCTTATTATAAAATGTTATTGTATATAATTTTCTAATATCAAAGTAAGACCTAGTATAAATATTCACCTAAATTAAATGGCAGCAAACAATCAACATTGTGTTATATGTGGTGATCGAGAATCGGGTAAATTATATTGATTTTGTATTTGAATTTATTTTGATTTTGTATATATTAATTAGCAATTAATAATTGTTTATGGATTTTAGGGCGAAATTTTGGTGCATTTAGTTGCGAGTCATGCAAAGTGTTTTTTAGGAGAACTGCTCACAAAAGTCAAGTAAATGTCTTTAAATACATATAACGTTATAACAAATTGTTTAACAAAAATTAATGTGATTAGCTATAATTAATTTAAGTATTAATTATTTTAGATACCTGTGTGTCGTTTTGATGGCAATTGTATTATTGATGTTAAGTCACGGAAACGCTGTACGAGTTGTCGGATGAAAAAGTGTATACAAATGGGAATGAAATCAGTAAATATAGGAATATTTTTGAGTTTAAAGTTGTAAAAATATTTTTAATTTATTAGCAACTAATAAGAAAAACTGGATTTAATAATAAACAAACTTTTAATAATATTATGCAATATAATGAGAAACAGATGAATGAAATGCTGATATTTATGTCCACTAATAACTTCAGTGTTAGCGATAATAACAATATGAATGTAAAGTTGGCATTCAGTCCAATGTTTAGCCATTTGGATGATTATAAAACATTTAGTGATTTAGAAACAAACAGATTATCGGAATTGTTTATATCGTTAAATGTATTTAAATTCACAAAACCAAGGATTACTATAGTATTGAAAAATTTGTTTGATATTAACTACACGTGCAATAAGTATATGGAAAAAGATGTCGAGGATCTGATCTCTTCGACAAAGAACTTAATGTCATTCAATAGCCTGTGTTTTAACGATCAGTTGGCGCTCATTAAGTACGGATGCCTTGAGTTAATAATCCTTAGGTTTTCAACATTTTATAACATTAACACCGATTACTGGACCTGTGCTCGGGTTTGTACAAAATATAAGATATAACATCTAATGTGATATTTATTTAGTATGTTTTTACATAAATGGTTATTACTTTACAGAAATCAGACATTGAAAATGTTTGTGGATTTAAATTGACTGCAATTAAAGAGGAGAAACGCGATTTGTATTGGTTTTACAAAGATTATTTGCCCAAAGTAAACACCGAATGTGATCAGGATTGTATTATTTTGGACCTGGTATTATATTTAATTGGAATAAATAATTATTGTAAAGTAACGTAAATTTGAAAATTAATAGTTGACAGCAATACTACTGTTTGATCCAAACCGACCCAATTTAATACACAGAGATGTTGTGAAGTAAGCATTTATTAATATTGATTCAATATTTGACTATTAAAATATTTTTATAACTTATTTCAGATCTGAACAGCAATTATATATTTATTTACTCCAAAGATATTTGTATTTGAAAAACGGATCAAAAGCGGAAACTCAGACAAAACTATCAGAACTAATGAATATTTTAATAGATTTACAAATTATATGTAATATCGAGAAGAAAAATGGTTACGATTTTTATTTAGATTCTTTCGGACCCATACTTAAAGAGATTCTCTTTGATATCACCACTGATTAGATCCAGTATTAGAATTAATTCTAAAATGTTATTCAATTCATCATGGGCTGTTATATCTATAAAGCAAAATATATAATTTTTTTAGACAATTAAGACTTTATAAAAAATTCACAAAATGTCATTAATGAAAATGCTTATAACAATAAAGTGATAAAAATAGTTATATCCGTTTATATCACCATGTTACGTCATGAAAGATTACATTAAACGGTAACATTCATGGTTAAACAGATGGTTAGCATAGTAATTATTTAAGATAAATATCAATATTATTTTTGTTGTAACAAATTATTTCAAACTCATAAAAATATATTAATAAAATACTATTACAAATCAATTTAATAAGTAATTATTGATTTAGTTTACACAATAGTTTTGTTAATAATATATGAAAAATGTCTCAAATAAGTTATATGTGTGTTATTTGTGAGGGCAAAGGAATTGGTAAATTTGTTTGAATAAAAATCACCATATTTCAAATAATAATGTAATACTTTTATTTAGGCTATAATTTTGATGTCATTACTTGCGATTCTTGTAGAGTATTCTTTAGGAGAAATATCAATAAAAATAAAGTAATTTATATTAAATACAAGTAATAAACATTATATTGTGTGTAATTTTTAATTATTTAATTAAATGCTATTTTAGATACGAAAGTGTCGTTTTGATGGCAATTGTATTATTGATATGAAAACACGGAAACGCTGTACGAGTTGTCGGATGAAAAAGTGTATTAAAATGGGAATGAAAAGAGTAAATACATAAATATATTTGATTATATTATTACAGATTTTAATTTACAATAATACTTTTTTAAATTAATAGCAATTGAGTGAAAATCTTGAATGTGAAAAGAAATGTGTACTAATTAATGATCCAAACATTAGTTTAAAAAATAATAATTTAGATAATAATAAGACAAATATGTGTGAAATACAGATATATACAAATACTAATAGATCTAACCATATGTTTCAAAACAATAGTTTTAATAGAATAAGTGATATGTTTGTAAAGTTACCGTTTAGTCCAGTGTTTAGCTATTTAGGCAATTATAACACATTTAGTGATATGGAAATAAATAGATTTAATGAATTGTTTAGATTATTAAATGTATACAGATTTAAAGCAAACACAGGAATTAGTATAGAAATGCAGACATTGTTTAATATTTATTACACATTTAATAAGTTGATGGAAAGGGATGTCAAAGCTCTGGTCTCTTTGACTAAAAGCCTAAAATCATTTAATAATCTGTGTTTTAACGATCAGTTGGCACTCATTAAGTACGGCTGTCTTGAGATAGTACTGCTCAGGTATTCAATATTTTATGACAATAACACCGATTACTGGACCTGTGCTCGGGTTTGTATAACATAATGCTAATCATGTTATTGTTAAATAAATTCATATCCATATACTTTACACAGACATTAGACACTGAAAAAGTTTGCGGATTCAAATTGAGTGCAATGAGACACGAGAAACGGGATTTGTATTGTTTTTACCAAGATTATTTTCATAAAGTAAACACCGTTCTGAATCACAATTCTATTATTTTGGACTTGGTATTAATTTTAATCGGTTAAAATAATTATGGTTAATGTAATTATATTTTTTATAATCTATAGCTGACAGCAATACTACTGTTTGATCCAAACCGACCAAATTTGATACACAGGGATGTTGTGAAGTAATTTAAAATTTGAATTATATTTATAATTATTTAAAATATTTTAATTTTTTAATTTTAGAGCTGAACAGCAATTATATATTTATTTACTCCAAAGATATCTGCATTTAAAATACGATTCAAAAACTCAGTCAAAACTATCACAACTTATGAATATATTAATGGATTTACAGAATATCTGTAATATTGAGATGAAAAATGCTTATGAATTGTATTTGGATTCTTACGGACCTATACTTCAAGAGATTCTCTTTGATGTCACCACTAATTAACTCAAGTTGTGCTACAATTGGTACTTAAAAAATGTATAAATCACTGCCAATTAGTATTTGTCATATAGAATAAGTATAATTGTGTCATTAAAATCATTGCTATTCGTAGCCATAAATAACTGTATTTCGTTCATCACTTTCTCACTACTTATTTCATTGCTCCAAATAATATCATCGAAAGTATCATTTGTTGAACTAATAGTTGTATCGTTAGTTGGATTACAATTCTGGGGACTTTCATTGCCTTTTATTAATTGCCAAAAATTTACACAAAAAATTATTTTTATTAAATTATATTTTAATTAGAAATAACATTCAAAATTACAACTCAAAAAAGTAATAAAAATACATTAATTTACTTTATTAACACTGTGTAAATTAAATACGTAAATAATCTAAATCTTAAAATAAATATTGATTTTGGTTACAAAGTAAAAATATAATTCATTTACAAGAGATGGCTGAGCGTCTAATTACTTTCAAACTATTAACAAATTAATTAATAGTTAATAATACTAATTAAATAAAAGTTAATAATAATAATATTTATATTTATATTAACTTAATAAATGAGCAGTCAGAGTTCAATTCAATTCAAACTTTATTGAAAAAACATTTAGTTTACATAACAGTTGTAAACATTAATCAATTTAAAGAGTATTAATTAGTAGAAAAGGCTTTAATTCCTGCACTTTCTCTTTGCCCACAAGATTCTCAACGATAGCCAGAGCCCACTCGATGGCCGTTCCCGGGGCTCGACTCGTGATAAGCTGTCCGTCAATCACAACCCTATCCTCACTGTATGAGTAGTGCTCCCGGAGTTCGTAGGCTTTGATCGGATGGGAAGTAATCCGTTTCTTAAGCCCAATGCCATGCGCTTTGAGTGCTGTCGGGGCCGCGCATATGGCCGCTATGAGAGCACCGGACGCTTCGTGTCGGCGCAATATGTGGCCGACCAGAGGACTGGCGGCCAAATTGGCCGACCCTTCCAGACCTCCGGGCAATACTATCGCATCAAAAGCCACGTCTTTTACCGACTCGAGCGACACATCCGCCGATATAAATACGTGACAATGAGTATCCGTGGGTCCGGCGCCCACCAAACCGGCCATAGTTACCGATATCTGTTTGTTTAAAGATAAAATGAGCTTGGTAAATATTATTGGCATATATTATAGTTCCCAAATCAAACACTTACACCCGCTTTTCTCAACAAAGCTGCGGCAGTCGCCACCTCTATCTCTTCAGCGCCCGGCGCTAAGATTACCAACGCGTTCGGTGCCATTGATTTTATAAAGTTTATGATCAAGGTAGAATATAATAGTTATTAAATGAATTAGTGTAAATACGAAATATTTATTAAATATAATGAGTTAACTATTCAACATTCAAACTATGTTGTGTGATCACTGAACATTAACTGACAGGTACCACTGATTTTATAGTTCACACTTTACCAAATTAATCTATGTAAATCAATTATTGTGGGCATATTATACGCTAAACATGTACTCTATCATTATATAGTGATTTTCTGCTTGGGCACTTAAATCTGATAAATAACAAATAACTTTTAGATTACATTTGTATGATATGAATGCACAACCGATAAGTTTTCCAACAGTTTGTTTTGCACCAAATGTATTGTAAATAAATAAAGTATAGTTAAGACTAAATTACAGGTAATATTACTGTACAGTACTAAACATTGTGGAGATGATCAAGCACATAATGTATGTGTATTATGTACTCCGGTTATGCACTTATTTTTTACACTTAATATTTTGCCTCGATTAATATTTACTTAAATTTGTACTTAAATGCACTCGATTGTTTAACATGTAATTAAGTTAAGAAATTGATCATGTACAAACAATTCACTTTTTACAAATATTGTTTATCTTTACTTCATTAAATCTGTGTAATTTAAATGTGCCAGTTGCTGTCAATTAAAAATATATTTATTTTAGTGTTGAACAATAAAATTACCCAAAAACCATTTATTAATTAGATAATTAACGTTAATTATAATATTATTAAAGTTATCGTAATAAATTATAAAAATCATGTTTTTAAAATTATTTCAATATGAATTCAACATAAATTTAGTATTCACTAAAATTACATTAAATGTGTGAATTACATCACAAAACTGATCAATGTAATTATAAGTCTGTTATAAAAACAACTAAATTGATATAAACAATCAGTTATTATTAATTTAAAATCTTTATCCGCTTACAAGCAAGTTATATATAAATTTAAAAATGCAATATTTAAAAATAAAAGTAAGATGTTAACATTTACATATAAAAATATATTTTTATTTTATAACTCATGTAATTTCTGTGTTTTTAAATTAAATAACATTGTGCAGATAATTGCTAATCATTAGATAACAAGTTAACAACTCATTTGAGATAGGGGTTATATGCTTTTTATATGCAGTAATAATTTTAATATATAAATTTATGTAAACATCGTGATTTTCATATTTTTGTACTAATAAATTGTTTGGAATTCTATTTATTTATAATTCAAACAGTAATTTAATTATCAAGGTAGTAATTAACATTAGAAAATGCAACGCAAAAAGCAATGTGTTGTTTGTGGTGATATAGGAATTGGTAAGTAAATTGCTTGTAAATAATTAATGTTTTGCTACAAGTTTATTTTAAAATGTAGGTAAAAATTTTGGTGCCGTAACATGTGAGCCCTGCAAAGTATTTTTTAGGCGAAAAATTCTTGAAAACAAAGTAAATAATTTGTTTAATAAAATATGTTTTAATAGTAAGTAGTAATCTATTGTTATTATAAATTAATTACAATTATTAGAAACAAAAGTGTCGTTTAGACGGCAATTGTTTTATTGGTATGAAAACACGGAAACGCTGTACGAGTTGTCGGATGAAAAAGTGTATACAAATGGGAATGAAAAAAGTGAATTTTATTAATACTTAAGAATATCATTGAATTTAGTTAATTGTAATTTTTCATATCATTTAGGAATTTGTTGTTAATCATGATCGAAATGACTCGGAGAATACAGACACATCTGATTCAATTAGCGATACGACCAGTAGTTTATGTAACGATACAATCAGTTGTTTAAGTAATGATACTTTTGATGAGATTATCAGTGATTGTGATAAGGAGTCAAATGAAGTGGCGATATATACGCCTAACAATATTAATAGCCGTAATGACTCAATTCAAAAATATGAGACTAATAATATCGATGATATGTTTGTAAAGTTGTCATTTAGTCCAGTGTTTAGTCGTTTAGATGATTATAAAGGGTTTACTGATTTGGAAACAAATAGGTTAACCGAGGTGGTTGTGTCGTCAAAAGTATTCAATTATAAATTAAATTACAATCCCAGAGATGTGTGTGAATTAACTAATTTGTTGGAAATTAATAAACGGTGTATTAAAATGATGGAAAGAGATGTCGAGGATCTAATCTCTTTGACCAAAAACCTCAATTCATTTAATAGCCTGTGTTTTAACGATCAGTTGGCGCTCATTAAATACGGCTGTCATGAGATACTTACGCTCCGGTATTCAATACTATATGATATTAATACCGATTACTGGAAATGGGTTTGGGTTTGTATACCAAATGAAGTGATTATCAGTTTTATACTAATTAATAGTTTGTTTTAACCAGAAATCGGATACCGTAAGAGTCGGTACATTTAAATTGAGTAATTTTCTAATGGAGAAGTTTTCTAATATATATTACTACTACAAAGATTATTTGTATAAACTAAACATTGAGTGCGATAGTGATCCGATTATTATGGACTTGGTATAATTTTGTACAAGTTTATAAAAAATTTCTATTTTAATAATAATTTTGTATTTAATAAATAGTTGGCATCAATAGTACTGTTTGATCCAAACCGACCAAATCTAATGCACAGGGATGTTGTGAAGTAAGCATTTATTAAAATAGTTATTTATTTTAATTTATTGCTATTACTTAAAATTAAAATTAATTATTTGTTAAAAATTGCATTTTGTTTCAGAGCTGAACAACAGTTATATATTTATTTACTCCAAAGATATCTGTATTTTAAAAGCGGATCAAAAGTGGAAACAGAGACAAAATTATTGAAACTAATGAATACATTAATAGATTTGCAATTTATTTGTAATATCTTAAAGAAAAATAATTTCGACTTTTATTTGGATTCTTTCGGACCCATACTTAAGGAAGTTCTTTACGACATTACAACTAATTAATTTCAATTTGTTTTATAATAATTAATTAAAAATATATATAAAATTAAACTTTAAACTGTAAACAACAGACATTAAGACATAAATATTAAAGGAATATTAAAAATTATTAAACAAGTAATTACAATAGACTTATATGTTATAACTTATAAGTTAATACAAAATAAATTTAATTTGTTAAAAGTTAAAAATACTTTGAATAATTAATAATTATAAACAAATAAATGACATTAATAATGCAATTACCAATAAATAACAAAATTATTATATTTGGTAATAAAATAGAAACTTCTAATATAATATTATAATTAGTTGATTGGTTAATAAAACATTGATTAGGAGATTGAAAGTTATTGATTTAATACTAAACATAAACAATCGTTATCTTTATCACTAAATATGCTGTCAATACGTGATTACTTGATATAATACATGTTTTATTATTATGCACAGTAAAACTTTCTAAACATCACATGTTATATATCAGTATGTACAGTGGTATTCTTTTATATATAAAAAATAAAGTAAAAGTTTAAAATTTTCAACAAAACATGCATAAAATTTAAGATAAAAAGTTACCATTTAAAAGTTACCATCACACTAAAGAGTTATCATAAGCTATGTTAGATTAATGCTAGTATACAGCATAGATTAAAGAGAGGCAGTGATTTATTTATAATGAATTATGATACACTATTGTGGTTACTATTAAACTAATAATAACTGCCCTCTCTATATAGGTGAATGGTTTAAAAGGGTAAATCATTTGAGTCTAATATAAATATGAATCACAACTTTAATTAAACCCCACCACTCATAGTAGTGTACATTATATATGACTAAATAACTATTTGTGAGCACAGACGTGAGCATAGCCGATTGATACCATATGTAATATTTATTGATTATTAAATAAACACCACATTAATACAATTAAAATTCTGTAAACATAAAATATAAACTTTTTTTTTAAAAAACACTAGCGCAAAATTTAAATTAAATGAGTTGACACTATATGAATTATTGAATTAGTTAATAGCAAATAATATTCAAATGTTTTAATACATGGCTATTACTGAAGACAAATTTACATTTTAAAACTTATTACATATTTTATTATATTGAATTAATATTATTATAATTTTTATTATTGAAGCAAAATATGATTTAAGTGAATTTATTTAATGCTGTTGCAAGACAATTATGACACATACAGTAAGTAAAAATTATATTTATCATTATAATTTACAATATACAACTTTACTGTTTATAATATGATATTAATGTGTTGTTGAAGGTCTAACTAATCTCGATTGAATATTAATATTTGTATGAAATATTTGAACTCGTTCATCACGAACAAACATTTTATGTACATAATTATTAAATAATCGAAAACAATTGATCATGTTCAATTTGATAACCAATTTCCGGAAGGTATCACTCAGTGCGGTGGCAATTGAAAAGCCAAACCACAGACTTATAATACTAGCCGTTAGACTCATATACTCTTCGACAGACATTTTTAACGATATTACGTATACAAGTGTTGGCTCCGGGGGTACACCAAAGGCCAGGGTGTGAATAAAATCGACATCCTTAATTTGTTTGCGCTTTTCTATATGGTAATAATATCTCGCACACATTTCCCGCTCCATACAATTAATACGGCATTTTTTATAATATTTTTTATTAGAAAGGCCACTGGTAAAATATAGATTATTATTATTACCATAATTTCCGATGAGATGATTTGTTTGTTTATAAAATAAAAATGCTCCAGGATGCTGTGTTGAATTTTTAGCCAAATATGTATTTATAATGCATTGATCAATACACTCGTCATGTGTTTGCCCGCTTGGTAAACATTGTCTAATATTGCCCGACCGATAAATCACCTTGGTGCGTTTAAACTTAAGAGTTATTAATATTCCCGGTTTAATCATGATGTGCTGCATTAATCGTAAGTTGCGATAAATGTCATAGATACATTCTCCCCGCCAATGTATATGAGCTAGAATAGTTGCATTAAAATACTCTGTAGTATTTGTGATGATTATCACATTGTAGTTGTTCTTACCATCATCGTGGTATTTTGATTTAACTGCAAATTTAGTTATGCAATATAAATTTCTATTAATTGACCTGCGATTATAAGTGCATTTTGCATTCCATTTATTTTCCTTGTTAAATAAGCATGTAAATTTTGGTTCATGTAGCATGCTAAATTGTTCTCCTAGTGACAATTTATTTATCTTAAAATTGATATTTTTTGTTGAAATATTACTACGGTCAAATGTATTAAATAACAATGATTTCTGCATACATATAGTGTACGCCGTGTCCATCAATTGAACACTATTTAACTCGTATATGACATTAGTTGTCGTTTCGTATGAAAAGTATAATAAACTTATTTTATACGTTTGATACACACATCCCATCAAACATATCACGTATATTATTATATTAATCATATTTTTTAATATGATGCTAATTTATCAATTATCAATAAAAACTGCAATAATATTATATTATATATGATATTGGTAAAATATTGACACGGATTAGGCGCTATAAATACTTTTAGTACCAAAATAAATTTGTTATACTATGTTTTAAAATAATAAATTTCTATGGTAACATTTAGTTCAATAAACTAATAGTTATTAATAAAATAAGTCTTATTTTTAATTTGAATCAATTAATACATTATTTTTAAAAGAGTGACACTTACAACAACAATTTATTATGCAACATATTGATAATGTAATAGTCTGTTTTTATTTTATTAAACAACAAAACGTTTTAAAATTAATATAATAATTGATATTATTTTTTTAATAAAATTGAATTTTATTTTACATTAACAACAATAATAATACAATTATTATATTATTAATTGTGTACTGAAATATATTTGCAAAATGTATTTTAATATAGGTAAATAATTATCTATGATAAATAAAAATATACAGTATAAATAAATTTTTAAAGTTTGTTAGAAAAACTCACAATACACTAAATTAGAAAACTTTTGCAATAAGTAATTATTGATTTTAATTGCCCAAAATTAAAACTTTTAAATAAAATAGCTAAATATTCAAATATATATTATATTCATCTAAAATCTACATTTATAATTTACAATATACAAGTTTATAATATTACTTTAATGTGCTGTTAACCGTCTAACTAATCTCGATTGAATATTGATATTTGTATGAAATATTTGAACTCGTTCAGTACGAACAAACATATTACGTGCATAATTATTACATAATTGACAAAAATTGACCATGTTCAATTTGTTAACCAATTTCCGGAAGGTATTCCTCAATGCGGTGGCGATTGAAAAACCAAACCATAGACTTATAATACTAGCCGTTAGACTCATATACTCTTCGACAGACATTTTTAACGATATCACGTATACAAGTGTTGGCTCCGGGGGTACAGCAAAGGCCAGGGTGTGAGTAAAATTGACCGGGCTTATTAGTCTTTGCCTTTCTATTTGATAATAATATTTCTCACAAACTTCTCGCTTCATACATTTAATACGGCATTTGTCATAAAAATTTGTATTTAACCGGTCAGTAGTGAAGTATGTATTATTAATATTATCATGATTTGTTGGCTTATAAAATAAAAACTCCCCAGGGTACTGTGTTGAATTTATGATCAAATACTTATTAAGAACGCATAAATTAGTACACTCATCATGTGTTTGCCCGCGTGTTAAACATGGTCTAATATTGCCCGACCGATAAATCACCTTGGTACGTCTGAACTTAAGAATTAATACTATGCCCGGTGTTATCACGATGGGTTGCATTAATGGTAATTTGCGAAAAATGTCGTAGATACATTCTCGTTGCGAATGAATATGAGCTAGAATAGTTGCGTTATAATACTCCGTAGTATTTGTGATGATTACCACATTGAAGCTGTCCTTGCTATCACCATGGTATTTTAAGTTAACTGCAAACTTAGTTATGCAATATAAATGCCTATTAATTGAATTGCGATTGTAAGTGCATTTTGCATTCCAATAATTTGCCTTGTTAAATTTGCATGCTAATCTTGATTCATTTATCATGCTAAATTGCTCCCCTAGTGACATTTTATTTATTTTGAAAATATTGTCATTTTTTGTTGAAATATTACTATGGTCAAATGTATTGAATAGCAATAATTTCTTCATACATATAGTGTACGCCGTGTCCATCAATTGTACACTATTTAACTCGTATATGACATTAGTTGTCGTTTCGTATGAAAAGTATAATAAACTTAT